ATGGCTGTTTCATCTTCTCATGGGAGGGCTAGTCAGCAGAGGTGGGTTTTTACCGGTTCGGCCGAGTAGGTAATAACTTCTATCCTCGATGGCGCCATCTTGATTTTCTGTTCTGCACATACGCAGAACAATCTTCATTGAAAAAATCTAATTATTTTTCCTTTTTTTTGATGTGCTGACCTTTTTAGGCGCAAATGAGCACGTGCACGGAGTGTGTGTATGGCATCCGCGTAAGTGTGTAAATTTTTTCAGGCGCCGAACTGGTAGTACTGCTGGCAGGAACCCACCCCTGCTAGTCAGGGATTACATAATTGAGGGATGGCGGTACCTATAGCTTTCTACATGCATTCAATTTGAACCCTAATATTCTTAGTCGCTAGCAGCCATCACTGATTGGGTTTGAGAGATGCTGGAAACCAACAACACCTGGAGAACTCCAGTTTCCCCAATCTGGTGTCAGTCCCATATGTCGATTCCTAGAGTTTTTAGCTCAACATGGCCAATTTGGGAACATTTACAAAATCCAAATTTTGAGTGTGATGGACTCCTGCATCCTTTATTAACCATGTTGGCTCCCAATCTTTTCCAGATACAAACAACTATTCAGGAGTATTTTTGCTTCCAGGTAGGTTGGATGGCACTTATTATTATTTTTTCAAAGTTTATTGGGCTTTAATTTTTAAAAATAGTTCAACATCAATACATGAACAGTTTGGTCTCTGGGTATGGTTCATATTAATACAAAAAACAGCAGTCAATTGTTGCATTAATCAATGTTGCTTATATAATCCTAATATTAATGTACTTGTTTATTTTAAAGTAGTCGTTCAATATTTCAATGTTCTATTATTCTAATGTCAATAATCTTCTTGAACATACATAGTAATACCATCTTTCAACCTGTCATCTTTCCATCTACTTATTACATATTCTATTTATATAGAAATCATAACTACCGTACTTATATTTCCCCTAATTCTTATTTCTACCTCTATTCTGTCTTCCGGTCAGGTCACTCTTACTAATACTAATGTTAATACACATCTTTATGTTTAGACATAGGCCTTTATATAAACGTGTATATTCTTATTTCTACCTCTATTTCTAGTTTTGAATCAGGCCATCATTATATTAGAAGACAGAAGAAAGGGGGGAAAGGGGGGGGAGCTCTGTTCTAACCATCATCTCTTGAAAAGCATCTCTTGATGTTTTAATACATCAATTCTTATTCATTTTTTGGCTTTTCTCCCATACTCCTCTCTTGGATCATTGTCTCTGTCAGCATCTGTATCTTCATTTTTCCATCTAAATATTTATCCCATCTCTATCCTCCTAAACTGCCAGATCTCATACTCCTATCTCCCTTTCAAAAACATCTTCCAGATTATCCAATTCCAATGGATTAATTTTGATTGAGAAAGACAGGGTTCAACTTGAACAGGGAGTGTTTTGATTTTAAAAACACCAATCCATTTGTTGGTTGATTGTGATTATTTAAAAGGAGACTGGACTCCCCTCTACACATGCTCACAAGCAACTTTCTTAATTTAGTTCATATGAGAGGAAGATGGTCCAGAACCAAAAAAAACCCAACTCCATTCAAGGGCAAAAGGAAAGACTGACTGAATTTGAATGTGGTTTAAGCCAGTTAAAACGCCAATCTTTACCTGATTTGGTTAAACCTGAATGCAAATAGTAATTGTTGTGCTTTTTTATACAATATTTAGAGAATAACTACTAAACATTTAGAAAAAAATGTATTTTAAGGCAGAAAAAAATCAGTTAGTGGCATCAATTCTACATAAATTCTATGGAGCTGCTTTTAGCTCATCTTCTGCTATCTCTAACTGCCCTCATGTTCAGCTTAAATTTTTGGGTTTATGGTTTGTTAATCAAATTGTAATGGCCAAAAAATTCACATAACTCTAAGCCACAATAGAAGGGCTTACAACAGGAATTCAACTGATTTTCTTGGCCTACTTAATTCCATGTATTTCTAAACCCCAGATTTAGAAATCGCCGAGTATGTGATGAAAGGCTGCTCAGGGGAAGGCGTATCTAATCGCACCGCTAACATCTATTCTGAGGACGACCATGAAGTACACAACACGTATTACTGTGACTCTAATCTCTGCAACATCCGGTTCACAGGTGGTAAGTACAAGAAGTTAGAACATCAACCTGTTGAGCAAGTGAGAAGTGTAAGAAACACAATAAGAACCAACGTGATGTAACATTTAAGGTGTTGGACGAGGGGACCAATCCAATGTCCCCTTCCAACTTTGTTATTTACTATTTATATCACCTTTCCTCTCATCAGGCCCAAAAGAAATTATACCTTTATAGCAAGCTCTAAACAAAAAATAATTAATAAAATTTATAGGTCTTTTCCCTAAGTCCCAAATTACAATTTATATCCAAGTTATTTTTACTAATTAAGGTTATCATTTCATTATTATTATCATAGTTAATATATGTTAACAAATGTTAACAAATGAACATTTAATAAGAATCTAAAACAATCTACAAAATGCTAACATTCCTACTTATTAATCATCAAAAATATCCATTAACATTTCCTTGTTATTATTGTGGTTAACAAAAAAATTATTTACTATTTATATCACATCTCTCTTCAGACCCAAATTAATTATATCTTTATAACGAGATCTAAACAAAAAATTATTAATAAAATTTATAGGTCTTTTCCCTAAGTCCCAAATTACAATTTATATCCAAGTTATTTTTACTAATTAAGGTTATCATTTCATTATTATTATCATAGTTAATATATGTTAATGAATGAACATTTAATAAGAATCTAAAACAATCTACAAAATGCTAACATTCCTACTTATTAATCACCAAAAATATCCATTAACATTTCCTTGTTATTATTGTGGTTAACGAAAAAATTATTTACTATTTATATCACATCTCCTCTCTTCAGACCCAAATTAATTATATCTTTATAACGAGATCTAAACAAAAAATTATTAATAAAATTTATAGGTCTTTTCCCTAAGTTCCAATTTACAATTTATATCCAAGTTATTTTTACTAATTAAGGTTATCATTTCATTATTATTATCATAGTTAATTATATGTTAATGAATGAACATTTAATAACAATCTAAAACAATCTGCAAAATACAAACATTCCTACTTATTAATCACCAAAAATATCC